TCTACCGTCCCTTTCTCTTGGTCATCTGTATTGCCATCTATCTACATCAGTATTGCCATCTATCTATAGCTGGATGACCATCTGTTGGGATGGATCGGATGGTGCCTGGCAGAATGGGGCTGGACTGGATGTCCTTTGAGGGCCCCTTCCAACTCTAGGATGCGATGATAGATCTACCATCCCTTTCTCTTGGTCATCTGTATTGCCATCTATCCATGGCTAGATGGCCATCTGTTGGGATGGATTGGATGGTGCCTGGCAGAATGGGGCTGGACTGGATGTCCTTTGAGGGCCCCTCCCAACACTTAGGATTCATATTTCAGTTTCTTCCTAACATCCCCAAAATATAGAGACTCCTGTGTTTGATGTTCTAATCTCTTTCTTTACTTGGATGCCCAGAATATTATAATGTAATCAATTGGATGGCCTTTCCAATCATAATCAATCGATTGGCCTTTCCAGTCACAGGGTTTGGTGCCTCCCTTTGGGGCCAATGGGGTGGTTTTGGTTCCTTTTTCCTGGCCCTCTTGACAGGAAACAGAAGAGAGGTGGATCTTTCCTTTGAAAGGGTCTATTTAGGGGACTTTGCAGAGCGGAACCCAAAATCATCTCCCTCCAGGGGATTCTAGTGCAAAAATAGGGCCAGCGTATGATCCCTTGTCATGTGCATCCGCACTGGAGAGTTAATGCAGTTCGACACCACTTTGGCTGCCGTGGTCCAATGCAATGGGAGTTAAAGTCGGACAAGGTCTTTGCTTTTGCAAACTGCAACTCCCAGGATGGCATTGCATTGAGCCTTGGTGGCTAAATTGGTGCTAAACTGCATTAATTCTTCAGTGTAGATGCACCACCTTCAGGGCGTCTGCTAGACCCGGGACACTTTTCAAATTTATGTTTTAAAAGTTTGTTAAATAATAAGAATAATAAGCCTTGTAAAGACAATGGTGAAGTATTAAAACGATCAATAATGAAGTGTCTGATGTGTGATCAAATACAAAAGCCAGCAGAGTGATCTTGTTATGTATCAATTAATAATAATAATAATAATCATCATCATCATCATAATAAGCAGCTTTGCAAAGGCAATGGTGAACGATTACATCGATCAATAAAGAGAAGAAGTCTTGCAGAGACAGTGGTGGAGTATTAAATTGATCAATAATAATATTAATAATAATATCAACACAATTCATGCAAAGACAATGGTGGAGTATTTAAATGAT